TATATATATATATATATATATATATATATATATATATATCAACTACATGCTCTCACTATAGGGTTAGGGTTTGGTTTAGGGTTGGTGAGTTGCTTGTGATTCTGCATAATTTGCTGTTATTACTGTAGAAAGTTCATATTCTCACACACAGTGATTAGGCAGAAGTCTTCTGAAGCAACAGTGTCGTTGATCTGTGTCAGTGTGATCACCATACTAACACTCAAAAGTGAGCGAATACTGTCCCTCTTGCTGATATTACAATACCTTCACATATACAATAAACCACACCCCAGTATTTAAGCACTTTATTTATTTTTCATTCCATGTTCATTGACGAGCTTTGTTCCCATGACTTAAACAAGACGACGACAAGACAACAGTTTGGTCAATAAATGATAACTGTGACTATATCAACATGCAGTATCGTTGACAATAAAAGACGAGTCTAAAATGTATTTAAAAAAAATAAAAACTCGACCAAAATCTCTTTTGATTTTTATCAAAAAAGGAGAGAAAATATGATTGCGGTCTGCTGTAACATGCCAGACAGGCGCAGGTTTCCTGTGGCCGAGAGAAGCGCTGCTCTCAATCCCTCGTCTTCCTCCACGGCACATCAGTGTTCCTGTAAAACACCTGCAAATGAAAGACACGGTGCGCATTTCTCCTCGTTCCGTTTCTCATCTCAGAGCCAGAACCCTGTTCGTCCTTGAACATCAGACTCATGCTGTTCATCTGAACCCAGCAGATCAGAAGAGAGTTTGTTTGTTTGCTGGTGTCTTAAAGAAAGTGGGTCATATCCCAGAGGCCTCTGCTGTCAGACGCACAGAGCAAGATGGCCGTCGTGCGCTCAGGTCTTCCTGCTCAGAGACGACACGAGTCTGTCTAGCGTTTCATTCAGAGCGCAGACGCTGGACTCTTTTCATACAAGACGAGAAGAAAACACCGACTGCAACGAGCCGTCTGAGCACCCTAGCCACCCTAGCTTTCTTCAGACAAACATGCCATGTAGTAGCTCACGCTTGCTTCCGAAGACGTACAAATGCAGTGTGCTGTAATGTTGAGTTGTTGGCCGTGTCTGATTGATTATGGTTGTGTTTCAGAGCTGGAGGCGTCCTCTCTGCACACTCTGAACACCAAGACCCTCTTCGTCAAAGTTCTTCCTACAACAGCAGAAGCCTAAGCAGATCATCAGCAGCAGCTCTTCCTCCTCGCGTCTGTTTGAGATGATGGGTTTGGTGTTTGTAATGGAAAACTCTGGGAATCTCTTCATGTGTGTTGATTGATTAGAGTAAGTGAAGATTATAACTGGAGCTGTACTCTGTGGGGAAGCTTTGAATAAACCTCGAGTTGCAAATAAAACCTTTGAAATGTTCATTTATCTTTATCATCTTCAGAATGGGTATCCATGCAGTGCGTGTTTGCTTACACGGAGAACAGATGCGATAGAAATGTTTCTTTAAAGAATACTTTCATAATCATGATCAGTGCTGCTGATAATGTTGTTCCAAACCCAAAAGACTCTCATTCATCTTCAAATGACAAATGAAGATAGTTTAATGAAACCTGAAAGATTTCTGTCCCTCAATTGAAAGAGTGTAGACCATAACATTGATGTTTCAGAATGTTATCCAAATGAATCCAGAACGTCATTGGTCAAGCAAGCGCATTTGAACCCTCGTTGACCATATTTGATGTGCTGAAACATATATTTGAAATGTGTTTGTAAGTGTCTTTATTTGCATTTCGAAGATGAACAAAAATCTTATAAGTTTGGAGTAAATGATGGTAGAGGTTACTTGGATGTAATGCAGGCGAACTCAAAGTCAGATCTGTCTGTCTTAAGAACTAATTTAACCAACTAGCAGTTAGCCAAGGGGTTATCAGTCTTAGTTTTCAGATTCAAATTAGACCAATCTAACCCTTTTTTAGAGTTATGATTTATTAGAAAATAAGATATCTACCAAACAACACAAAGTATCTCAGAAAACTATGAAAACAGAACAAAACTAATGAACAGGAACACAGGGAACATTAGGGCTTAATATTCACAGGGAATATAGGATGAATCCATTTGTATTTTTTATTCTCTGATCTCTGAAGAGTGCCCGCCGTTGCCTCTACAGATGCACAAATCACTTTTGCTCTGTTTCACACAGATATGTGGTGCAAAAGGGAGAGCGCGTGAAGCTTGTCGTTTGCGATTGAAAAACCGTGTTTGAGACTCGTAGCAGCAGATTCACGCCGGTGTCTTTGTGCACTTGTGTTTGTGCTAGAAAAAGCATCCAAGAAAAAAATATATATGTAAGAAAACATTCTACAAGTTTGCAAGAATTCACAAACTGATTTGCGGATGTACAAAATCCATCCGTGACTTCACATTTTTGATGCAGGTGCAGCAATAGTAGCAAAAGCATGTGTGAGCGTACGAGTTTCTTGATTTGTGATTCATAGAATTGGATTTGTGCACCTGCAGTGAAGGATTCGAGAAGGTGTAACTGTTGTTGTGTTTGTGAGAGAGAGACAAAATCTACAAGTTTGCAGCTTTTGTCTGTGACTTCAGATTTACTGATACACGTGTGTGGCTATTCTCTACAACTACGAATTCCGCTGTCACAGACGCTCAGTTGTTTTGCACCAAAAATACCTTCATACTGGTGTCTGTCAGCAAACATAAACAGAAAGCTGCAGAATTGTGTTGAGAAGGCGCTTGTGTTTTGAGCTATGTATTATTACTATGAATTAGGCTACTACTACTACTACTATTACCATCTTGTGCCCTGCAATAAACATTTATTCAAACTCTCTTTTATGAGATGAAGGGGGGGGGAAGAAAAAAGCCCAAACATATCGGCCCAAAAAATCGGCATATCATATTTTGGCCATCGATCACTAGAAAAACCCATATCGGTTGACCTCTAATGCTGACACTTAAATGAATTGTTTTGCCACTTTTGCATTTGTTATTAATGTATTTTGAATGCAAAGGGCACTTTATTCTTTCACAAAATTAGTCAGGACCTTTGACACTGATGAAAATTCAGATTTGGACCTTTGAATGTAGACTTTGAGAAGCCCTGCTATATAGGGATTAGTGAATGAGTGAGTGATTTTGGACACAGCTGGAGAAACAACAATGACTACAAGATAAGAACAAGAAACCGGAAACCCAAAACCTCAAGATTAAAGTCTAAAATGGAAATAATGTGACACATCCCTTTAAGGTGTGGTCAAATTGATAATTTCTCTGTGAAATTATGGGATGAAATCCTTTCATCCAGTCATTTTAACCCTCTGGGGTCTGAGGGTGTTTTGGGGCCCTGGAGAAGTTTTGACTTGCCCTGATATTTGGTTATTTTTTCAGTATCTTAAAAACATATTAATGGCTAAAGTCTGAATACACTGTATTCAGCACAAACTGGGCTACAATAATATGTGAGCAGCATGAATGTACACGTTTGTGTTTTTGAGAAACCGTTTATGCGTGGTTAGTGAAAAACTAGCATTAAGTCACTGAAATAAGGCCATAAAACACAAACAGAATATTTGTTCACAGGACTTTTGAGAACTGGATGTGGTAGAGTTTTCAATCATTTACAGAAAACAATATATTGATTTAACATTTGTAAAACATGTTTTGTGATAGAATGCCCTTATGCGAGGGAGTGACAATGGCCATGAATATTTAGTGATTCACATCTGAGAGACAAAGGGCCTCGCATAATGGGCCATCAATATGAATGTGACTGAGGCAGGTAACAAAGAGAGTGAGGAGAGTAAAATAATGTGGGGTTTGAGTATTTGTATTTTATTTACAACACGGTATAATCAAAATATACACAGAAGAGGTCAAGGACACATGATTAAACATTCTGATCTAAACACTGAGACTTAAACAGTAACACACCTTTGAGCCAAACATTCTCAGACTCTAATATCATAGTGTTAACACTACTTTTATATCTTGTGGTTGTATATTTTATAGAACATTAAAAAACCATCCTGGTGTTGTGAGACATTTAAATGCAATGAAATCGCTTGATTTCATACATGTAGTCAGGAATTATAGTTTGGAAAGTCTAACTAGTAAAATGTGTACAGGTTACAATAACAACAGACGCAAGTAATCTTACTCATCAGAATGATATCCTCCACTGGATCAAGCTGTGCGCATCACATCGCGTTCTTCTTCTGAGGTAAATTCTGGGTTATTCCTCTCAGCGCATCTTTTTCCAAAAACAAAGAGTAGCCGAGATGAACTTAATGAAATCTTCACGCTTTGTTGGCTGTACAGATAATGAGTTTAGACGGGAAAAACTGGAGCCCGCGTTTGTTTCATACAGATTACTTTATCAGAGAATATTTGTTTCTGACGTGACTTGCTTCATTTAGAAGTAGACATTTCAAGCTTTCTATGCATATGTTTCTCGTGTCTGTGAGGCAAGTATTCGCGGAGGTTTAGGTTGTTTTATTTACATGTCTGTGATGAAACTTGACACAGCAGAGGAAAAGCACATTGTTTTGTTGCTATTATGACTGCACACAAAAAAAAGTTTTAATCTTTTTCAATAAATTGTAATTATTTTTTTTCCTTTTATGGACATTTTTACCTTTACAACGCCATTTTTTTTCTAAAAGTGTATTATCTTTTGAATCATATTCTTACATTTCCACACTGTTTAATGCAGGACATGAATGCATTTAACCTGCAGTTACAAATGCATAAATAATATTTTGATATATTAAACATAAAACATTGAATACTGATATTTGAAATTATTTAAATATTAAAAAGGTACTTTAAATGTGAAATTTAAACCACCAGCAGGTGGCAACAAGTCACTGTTAATAAGTGAGTCATTGTGATTGAACCGAATCATTTAAACGGTTGATTCATTCAGGAACGTAACACTGTTATGTTGCTCAAAGACGCAAAATGGTGTGAAAAGACACTGTGGCTTTGTTTGGAATTATTTTTGTTGTCTAAATAGCGCAAAAGTGGTAAATATGGTGTCTAAAATGCAAGTCTCTTAAATAACTTCTAGTTTATTGAACTGTTGTAAAAAATCAGTCACATATGTAATCATGGTAATATTTGGAGAAAAAACGACACTCTTCATGTGAAATTGATTTACTATATGAAGCGGTATAAAGATTAAGAACACGCTCTAAATGCACACTAGTCTAGACTTCACGTCATGTGTGAACTCTGTCTGTGTTTTGAATGGTTTTTGTCAAATACGCGATAATGTCAAATCACACATCGTTAAAACAACAATTACGATAGTCTCGGAGACGATATATGAGACGATATATATCACACACCCCTACTTAAAACTGCAGCGCTCATGACGTAAGGTGCTTAAAAAACATTTTGATGACATGAAATGGTCAGATCAGGTTTGTTTGACTGCAGATGTGCAGCAGCGGTTGCTCAGCGTGTCACATCTGTGACACATCTGGAGCTGCTGCTGCTGCTTTTAGCCGTCTCGTTGATTCGCCAGACTAAAACATGCAGGAATCCTTGGATTCTCTGCAGAAACACCTGTCCATCAGTTGAGCGGGCTCATCCCTGAATCGAAGGTGACTTGGTCTTTTGCTGCCACTGTGGCTGAGTGCATATTAAACAAACCTTCACCATCTGTCTGCTCACCACTCGCTCTCTCTGAAGTCACTGGAGGAGCACAGAGCGGCCAGTCCGCCATCTGCTTCACACTCGCTCTACTCAGCCATCACTAATAATTAAACTATTGAGAGACTCCCGCATGGACCCAAATCTGCCGCTGTTCCACACTCCTCAGCCTTCATTTGCAGTGTTTCTGATCCGGCTCTTGAGCATCTTCAGGTGTCCTCTAAAACCTTTGCTTTCAATTGTGTTTACAGTGACGGACTTACTGTGGAAGTCTGGAGCTGGTACACTGAGACGAGTGTCAAAATACAGTTTTATGGAAGAATTCATATAAATATGTTAACCAAAATATGAGCTGCACATTTCTGCTGTTAACTAACTTCTCTTGAAAGACTTCCACTGTAAGCGCAGTGCTGTATAATGTGGTGCTCAACAGCATATCACAGATACTGGTGATACAGCTCACCTTATGCTGAACCCAGAACATGTTTTTACATGATTAAATAATGGCAGAAAACAGAGTAAACCTTAGTAAATCGTGTTGTGTGATTCTCATTTAAATACTGCTTCCATAAATGTTGTGTCTGAAAAGGAAACTCCTACAATTGCATATGCAATAAGGTCAGCTGCAGAAATAACTGCCCATGCCTATTTCTCACACATTTGTCCCTGGAGCAGTGTTAAGTCGCTGGGGGATATTTGTAGCAATAGCCAACAATACATTGTATGGGTC